CGGGATGGCCTCGCATTGATCGAGGAGGTCAGGGGTTGGGATGGGGACATCAAGGCTGTGTTGGTGACCCCAGGGTTGTGTTGGTGACCCCAGGCCGGGTCGGTGACCCCAGGGTTGTGTTGGTGACCCCAGAGTTGTGTTGGTGACCCCAGGGTTGTGTTGGTGACCCCAGGCCGGGTCGGTGACCCCAGAGTTGTGTTGGTGACCCCAGGCCGGGTCGGTGACCCCAGGCCAGGTCAGTCCCCCCCCCCAGCAGGGTCAGGCCTGGCACTCACTGGCGCAGCTCGGCCTTGACGGGGCTGGACACGCGGGGGTAGCAGACGCTGAAGAGGCCGCAGGCCGAGGTGCGCGACGTGAACCAGTCGCCCCCCGCCAGGCGCTTCACCAGCGGCACGAAGTGCCCCTCGAGGTCGGGGGGCGAGTGCTCGTGGGACACGGCCCGCAGGGACTCCACCGCCTTGTCCCGCACCACCGTCTCCTCCACCGTGGCCAGGCTCTCCAGGGGGGGCTGCGGGCACGGCGGGGTGGCACCGTCACCGAGGGGCGGCCTGTGTGCCCAGGGGGCACCCAAACCACCCCGGGGGCACCCAAACCACCTCAGGGAATCACCCAAACCACCCCGGGGGGCACCCAAACCACCCCGGGGAGCTCAGGAACCACCTGGGGGACCACCCAAACCACCCCGGGGGGCACCCAAACCACCCCAGGGAGCTCAGGAACCACCTGGGGGACCACCCAAAGCACCCCAGGGAACCACCCAAACCACCTCAGGGGGCACCCAAACCACCCTGGGGGGCACCCAAACCACCCCGGGGAGCTCAGGAACCACCTGGGGGACCACTCAAACCACCCCAGGGGGCACCCAAACCACCCTGGGGGCACCCAAACCACCCCAGAGGGCAGCCAAACCACCCCGGGGAGCTCAGGAACCACCTGGGAGACCACCCAAACCACCCCAGGGGGCACCCAAACCACCCGGGGGGGCACCCAAACCACCTCGGAGAATCACCCAAACCACCCCGGGGGCCACCCAAGCCACCCCATGAAACCCACGGGCCACCCAAACCATCCCACAGTCAGTCCCTCATGTCCCCTTAAACCATCTCAAGGTCCCTCATGTCCCCAAGGGCCACCAAAAGCACCCCAAGGACCACCAAACCCACCCCAGGGTCCCTCGTGTGCCCAGTGTCACCCTCACAGGAGCCCAGCGTTTGGTTTTTGGGGTTCCCAGGTGTGGTTTTGGGGTGTTTTAAGGGTATTTTGGGGTCCTTCAAGGGTATTTTGGGGTCCTACCAGCAGGCAGTGCACGAACTCGGGTCCCCCCACGAGGGCAGTGAAGGTCCCAAGCTGCTCCGCGAGCGCCAAGAGCACCTCGTCCTCATCATAGATTGTGTCTGTAACCAATAATCAACCAACCAATCAGCCCAGCTGTCGATCGATCAATCGATCACCCCAAGCCCTGCCCATCCACCATCCAGTGCTGGCTTTGGGAGGATTTGGGCCTGGTTGGGGGGGGTTTTTGCCCCCCTCCAGCCCCGGGGGTCCCTGTACCTGTGAGGAAGGGCAGGAGTTCACTGCGGGTCCTCTCCACCCCCAGCGCCAGCGCGATGGTCGAGAGCTTCTTGATGCTGTTGAGTCGCAGCTGGGGGAGGAAAAAAGGGTCAGGAACTGCCCCCCCCCGGGGTAAAAACCCTCCAGGGGGGAAAGAGTCCCAGAGATGGGGGATAAAGTGGCGCCTTGGGGGAGAAATGGGGCCCCCGGGGGCAAAACAAGGCCTGGTGGGGGTGGATTGAGCCCCCCCCAGGGGCAAATATTCCCCCCAGGGATAAATTCAGGTGCTCCTGGGGAGGATTTAAAAGTGATGCACAGAGGGGTAATTAAATCACCCCCTGGGAAATTAAATCTCCCCCATTGGGAACGCCCCCCCAAGGCCATCCAGCCAATCAGGAGCCTCGTCTCAAGACCCCCGCGCGGCGATGCCAAGGCAGAGACGAGCCCCCCCATTGGCTCTGCCCCGCCCCTCCCACGCCGCACCCCAGCCAATGAGCAGGCGCCACTGTCACCAGGCGTTGCCCCGCCGCCAGGGGGCGCCACGCTGGGGAGAGGGGGAGTTTCGGACCAATCAGAACGAGCGTAACAAAATTAAAGGGGCCCGGAAACCAATCAGAGCGTGCCTTTCACCCCATCGTCGTGAAGATGAAACAAGCCCCCCTAGATGTAACGCCGCTCCCCATTGGCCCGCGCCTGAGGGGGGAAGGCCTCCGCGGCCAATCAGAGCGGCTGTCTCAGACGAGCGACGGCAGGCGGGCCCTGCGGCTGCGGAGAGACCGCGAATATCGCGATAGGGCCCCGGCTATCGCGACAGGGCCCTCGGATATGCCGGGGAACGGTACCTGCACGTCCTCGTTGCGGAGCTCGTCGATGAGGACGGCGATGGGGTAGAGCGAGTCATCTCCGTCCGCCGCCGCCATCTTGGCCGCCGCCCCGGCTCTGAAGGGCCGCACGGGGCCGCCCGCGCCACTGCTGCAGGGCCAGCCCACCGCTCATTGGCTGGAGCCGCCAGAGAGCCCGCCCTCCGCGTCTTCCCATTGTTTTGCGGCCCTGCCTGTCAGCGCGGGCCCCGCCCCCTGCGGACGGCGCGCCCCGTGATTGGGTGGAGGGATTTGAGTGACAGCGTTAGGGGCGGGGCCTGACGTTGCTTGGCAACGGGGCGGGACTGGGAGGAATTGGGACAAACTGGGACCGGAGTGGGACAATTTGGGACACAGCGGGATAAATTGGGACAAGTTGGGATGGACTGGGATAAAATGGGACCGGAGTGGGACAATTTGGGACACGGTGGGATAAACTGGGACGGACTGGGATAAGCTGGGACTGGACTGGGATAAGCTCGCACAAACTGAACTGGGACAAGTTCGGGCATACTGGGCCCCACCGGCCCCTTCCAGGTACCCAACTGGTCCATACTGGTCCCACCCCACCAAACCCCCCAAAACAAGTGGGCGCAGATGCATCAAGCCCCGCCCACTTCTGACCCCCCGCCCACCCTCGACCCCCGCCCCCACGGACACAATGACGTCATGGAGCAGCC